TATTTATAATAATAAGTTTCAATTTGTATATTTTTTTTGTGACTTGAAAATTATAATCATCCTACTATTAAGTGCATTTTGACGTGCTTTTCTAGATACACTCTAGATGCGAAATGCCTGTCCAATAAGTGAACTTCTTATACGTATGTATGTATAATGGAAACTCTATTATGAAAGTACTGGTGAATTGATTCACATTCAAAGGGAATAGACAAAAAGAAAGCTTTAACACTACAAATGGTCAAATAATTTTAGTTTATTGTCATTAATCGAATATATAGATCTGTTCTTTTTATTATATACGAAAGAAGATTAATGAGATATAGCAGCCTGAATTTTCACTAGCATTTCTTCATTTTGGCTAAAGCTTATTTCTAAATTTTTTTTTTTTAATTAATCTGCAGCTCTCAAGCGTCAATTTTTCGCACAGTCAGAAGCCTCAAATTTGGATTTCATTAACCATTTGCATTTGCCACTTGGCGCCATTTTCAACAGCTTCAGCCGTAGATTGGGTACTTGGGGAAAACTCGAGGCTGGCCGCAATTCGAGCTAAAACTCGGCTAAACTAAACTCGGCTCAAACTCAAATTATAATTACGCGGCCATTGAAGCTGAACGTTTTTGAATAACTACCCCACAGCAGCTATTCAAGGGTAGCTACAAAATTTCTTTCATTTTTCACGAAAAAAAAAAAAAAAAAAAATGGAAAATGGAAAAAAAAATACAGCTGAAATGCTGCGCTGGCCAAATTAATTGAAACTTTATTTGGATTATGAAATTAGCACACGCCCAGTGCTCAGAATTACGTATTTTTTTTTCTCGAGAATTAAGCGCTTTTTAATTAGGTTTTTTTTTGGGGGCTTTTGAAGTTCAGTTGAGTGAGGGGGCGTGGCGGGATTAAGTGCGCCATAATTTGACGCCAGTTTTTAATTGTGTGGAAAATTGTTGGCAAGCATTTGAAACTACAAAATTGTTGTGGGTTGCCCTAACTGAAATATGCAATTAAACTTTTCTTCTTCTCTATTTTTTATGGAAAATTTGTGGGGGCGCTGCGAGGCGAGGCGAGGCCAGCTCTGACGTACGTCGGTGGGGGAAGGACACGTAATGCCATTCCGGGCCAATCAGGCGTAAAATGTAAATGAAAATGGACAGGTAAGTTGGCAAGAAAAAAAAAAAAAGAAAAGTTTTTGCCTAACAAAAATCACTCATGGAATTTGATTGACTGCAGCAATGAGTAAATGACTGAACCAATGACAGATGAGACTCAGGCAAAAAACGATGACGAAAAGCATCCAAATAAATATCGGAAAAGTTTCGCTTTTGTGGCGGAAATGTCCGGGCGATCCGGGACGGCTGGCAGCCTCATGAAAATTGACAATCAAATTGCAAATAGCTTTATCTTGTAGTTTGTTTATTTATTTATATCATTTCGTACACTTCCTGCGCAGCGGCCGCAGTGAGCAGAGAAGTCATCTGGGAGGCAGACGGCGGCCATAGTTGTTAAGCTCTCTGTCTGTCCAAGTGTGTGTGTGTGTGTGGGTGTGTGTGTGTGGCAGCCATTTTGATATGGCTCATATGTGCGCACGTGTGTATGTGATTGCCTGTCCTTTTTGGCCTGTTATCCTTGGCTTATGTTTTCAATTAAATTTCCATACAATTTTCATGACATGATGAACTACCTAGGAGGACGCCAAGCCAGGTCTCGACACGACTCTCAGCTCTGCCACACATGTCTGACTGTGCGTGTGAGTGTGTGTGTGAGTGTGTGTGCGAGTGTGTTTGTGTGTCTGTCAGTCAATTTATTTAATAACAAACGCAGAGCAGACAAACAGAGCTGATCTGAATTGTGGTGCTCTGTTATAATCAAGCAGCCATCCAGCAGCAACTGGGCATAAAAATCTCTCTGAAGTTTTTTGAATAAATCAAGAGCGAAATATTTTATATCATTTAATTTACACTCGAGTCACAAATGATGCAAAATTGTTGCGATTATAGCTGAGACGAAGAAAGACAGAGAGAGGGAGAGAGAGAGAGGAGAGAGAGAGAGAAATATCTATGATCTCAACTGAACTGGCGATAAATTGCATATCAATTGAACAATCTGGACCCTTTGCCTTGACTTATCCTTCACATACAACTCAGTCGCCTTGTAGCCGCAACTGCCAAGGCAATTGCCGATTGGTTTTCGTATCCAACCCGAGCTGCGTATTCATATATTTCGTTTGATCGGACAGCCTGACAGCAACAGTAAGTTGAACGTATTCAGGAGCAGAAGGGCAGGGAGATGGTTAATTTCACTTATGCGAAAAGCGAGCCAAAAAAAAAAAAAAAACTTTAATATGCAGCACAAAATGAAGCGAATGACTTCTCTCTGACTGGCAGCTGAACTGGAGCAGAGCAGCTTCTGCTGCTGCTGCTGCTGCTGCTGCTGCTGTCCATGTCATTTCAATCAAATATATATATTTATTCACTTGTTGTTGTTTATGACAGCAGCAGTGGCTCGACTGTGCCATGATTTATCATTATGTGACTGGGATGGCCCACTGGCCCTGGCCCCAGCCCCGGCCCCACGCCTCTCTTACGCAACATAAGTACATGTTCAATATATAATAACATAAAATATGACGGCCTGCCTTCGCATAAATAAAAGAGCCACAAACCGGTGAATATTGTAAATGTTTCAAAAAGGTTACAAATGAACACACGTCAGGCAAAAATGTTGCCCAGATAAATGCACACACACAATCACACACGCACACATACATGCATATACATATACATAAATGAAGTGTGTATGGAAAATGACATAAGGTAGTTTCAGAACGTCCAGCTCGTTCTGCTGTTGGTAATAAATAATATTTGCGCATTTATAGATKGACCAGCAGCAGCAGAGGCATAAGAATTAATTATTATAAAATATATCAAATTGAAGTAGTTAAGCAATAGTCTAGCTATAGAATCTGTCTTTTCTTCACACAAATGCAGATGCGCTAACTGAAGATTACCTATTATTATTATTAGGCAACGACTGTCATTAGCTTCTAATAACGAAGTATAGATATTTAAGTTATTGGTTTGGTTATGGTAATAATCAGAAAATAATAGTGGCGCATGGCTAAAGTGTGAAATAGTTTGATAGCGAACTCCAGAGACGAAACAAGTCTAGCAAATCGAGCGAAACGGATGGCATAGTCATACGAAAGCAATGGGCGGGAATGTGAACAATGACGAGCCGCTAGATGCGGTCTGTGGCGGGTATGTGAAGAAGGGGCAATGAGCAGGAGGACGATGAATATTACATTTCCATGGTAGAGCAGGGAACTAGTCTCGTGGCTATCGATGAGAAGAACGGAGGACGCATCGTTGGCATAGTTTTGGCTGCTGCTCATGTACCTAGCGATTTGAATAGATATTCCACAGGTGTTTTGGCACTAACTGACTTTGAACGCATCGACATATTTATAGCAAAAGTCGAGAACGCAGCCAATCTCTTCCAGCGTTACGGCGTCTCTAAGATGCTCTGCTCACACATCACCAATTGTGATGCCACAATGCGTGGCAAAGGACTGGGCGCACGTCTAACTGTCGCTCTAATCGAAGTGGCTCGTTCCAAGGGCTGCCCCCTGTTGGTGGCAAACTGCACCAGCTTCTATTCGGCACGCCAGAAGCAGGCCTTGGGCATGGAGTGCGTCTACAAATTAGCCTATGAGGACTACAAGGATGAAACCGGTCAAGTTGTATTCAACCCACCTGAGCCGCATACACATATACGCGTGATGGCCATTAAACTATAACTATAATTAATAT